CTGCCTCACTTCTCCCTCAGTGTTCCTCGGTGTCGGCATATGATTCAGAGTTTACACTAACGTTGTCACAGCGAATAAGACGGTGGATGTCACACACCAAAATAGCCCTCATCCCGATAGCAAGAGGTGAAAACTGAATTCAGAGGCAGCATAACATGATAGAGGGAGGACAGCAAGTTGCTATTGATCCCCAGAAGCCCTGTTCAATATAAGTCCAAACCCACTGACACATGGCAGATATGACCAACAACCCACTCAGGTTCTTGGCCATTGTAGCTTTAGCCCAATTAAAATTTGATCCACCAGCAGTCCCTTTCTACTTGGCCTCATTGCAAGGACAGCCGTTACCACGGTTACTGTACATGGCTATGTTTCTGAAACCTTTATGAAATCTCATAGAAAATGTTTACTGATCATGCATTGACGAGCATAATGTAAATTAATCATTTCATGTCAATGTCAAACTAGAGACATAAAGCCATTTCCATCGCCTCTGATATTCCATTAGCAGTGCAGGCAACCGGTGCATGACGCAGACGAAGACCTCTCCTTTGAGAGCAGCCGTCAAAGCACTGTCCAGCCAAGCTATTTGGTGCTATCAAGTCTCTGCTTGCTGTCTTGTAAAATCTTTTCCACTGGGAAATGCCAGTTTCCTGCACTGTGTGGGCCATGTGAGAAAAAGACGTGACGATCTACCCTCTGTCTTTCTCAGCAGGAAGCTATAAAGTTGTCTCCAGCCTTTTACAATCTTCAAATGAGCAGCGATGAACAAGCGCGTGGAACGACTGTGATTTTACTTCCCGTTTTACTCTTTGTATCAACACTCACTGATAATCCTTGCTATCCTTTAGAGTAGCACATACTGTTGGGACGCTTAAATATTTCAGCAACATTGGATTGTTTTCTTTAAGTCCCCAGTGAGGTGGGGAAATCTCCCAGCATTTTCCAACGATGACTCTGACCTCTGAGAAAGGAAGACAGAGTCAGCGCCTCAGCTGACTTGGGAGTTGCCATTATAGCCAAACAATAAATGTCAATATTTTTCCATGTAATTTTAATTATCTTGATTCCTTATTGAATACAGAGTTCAATCAAATTGTGGAGCGCCATTTCCATTTCTCACAAAGTGATTCATAATCACAACAAAATATAATGCGGCAGATCCGTCCAAGTCCTGTGGCAGTGCGTATGACCCCCACCCCCCCTTTGTAATTTTTTGGAGGATTATGTATCACCCAGAAGCTTCCATCTTAAGACAGTTGGCGGGCTCTATCTAACACAAGAAGAATTTTGGTGCAGAGGAAAATTGATTGCTCGCTTCACAATAACTGAACAGCCACAGCAAAATTGCACCTGCCAGGACCGTGCCTCATTCACTCTACACCCATCCATTCAACTTATGAACCACACAGGAACATGTTTAACATTTCACACTGCTCCCAGTCCTGTTTAATTTCAGCTCTTGTATATTAAACATAGTGCAAGTTTACAGTTACAGTTGTTTTTTGCTTTTTTCTTTGCCAAACTTTGCCGGTCAAATCGCCTGTGCCACATAAAAAATGGCAGATAGTTGGCATGGAAACCATGTTAGATGAGGTGCAAAAAGAATGAATGGCACCACTGGAGCTCTGCTGTCCCAAACTAATCAGTCCTATTGTCCTCTGGTCTGCCAGTTTCTTCTCTTATCAGATGTAGGATTTGAGAGTCATGCTGTGGAGCACGGCTGGCAGATTCACTTTTTTTCCAGTGACCAGCAACCTGCTGCACTGCACTATTCCTTGTTAGAGCCCGTTGTACCCACAGCACACATAACCCTCCTTACTACTCACAAACTCCACATCATAGGGTGGCCAGTAACGTCACTGTAAGATGGTCTCCTTTAGCAATTATTTGAATGAAGGTCAAGCATCTTAGCAATTGCCGGATTTGTGCGACAGTGACGCTTGTAAAGGCTCAAGGTCATGGAATATTTCATGTGTTGGTAACTGCTGCCAATATCCCTTTGTAAAGTCTGTTTGTATCTTAGGTTGAGAGTTAATTCTGTAAATTCAGCCCACCTTGTTCTTGTTTGTTTGTCGTTTCTTCCTGTGGCCTGTGGAGTTCCTGCTGCACAGCCCTTTCCCTGATAAGAGGAGACGGTCCGCTGCTAATGTACTGGAAAGCTCTGGTCTCAGGAATAGCAAAACCAAGCTCCCTGTGACTTCCAGGAAGGTCTAACAAAAAAAAAAAAACATGCTTTCAGTCTGTCACATTTACTGACGTCACAACAAGAGCACTGTAATGCAATCCTATATACCACACTATTTATTGTATACCTGTGATCATGTCAGCCTCATTAGCAAATGATGTGTGAAAAGTATTTAAAATTCATGTTGAACAATTAAAAAGTGAAGTGCGCATCTGTGTGTGATATTCACAGTTTGGAAGATTTGACACCTCATGTTAGAAAATAAAAGCACATTAATAGAATGATTAAATAATTTCAGATTAAAAGTCAGCAATCAATATTTATTTTTCTGGCAAAACAGTAATATAGGTACCAGCAGCACCTTTATTGTCTGTGACTGATGAGTGATGTTTTTTCTGGGTTATGGCTGTTGCCATTGCCATAGCACAACTATAGTTTTCCTGTCAGTATATGGATAATTGCAAAATGCACATTGCAACTTCAACTGCAACTAGCAATCATTTTCATTATCGATAAATCTGCATATGATTTTCTCAATTAACAAATTAACGATTTGGTCTATAAAATGTCAGAAAATTGTGAAAAATGTCCATCACAGTGTCCATCTCAAGTCTATGGTGGTCCTAAAATTTATTGTTCTGGACAAAATTCTTTATTACAAAATAAGGCCAAGAATTGGAAATTGGGAATGTTTGACATTTCCAATTAAAAAATGTATCAAAATAGATTTCCTGCTGATCAACTAATCAAATAATCAAGTAATAGTTTCAAGTCTAGCTGTCCAAAACCTAGCAGAAATTAACTTAAGGGGAGTTATAGTATGTGTGCAGTGTATCAGTAGTGTGTGTTTGCTATTCAGGGAGCTGCACTTTAGGCTCTATGACTGGCAGGAATTATGGTAGGGCATTTCTTCAGCCAGATGATGAAGTGCAGACAATGTGTTGGACAAAAAAAAGTTATGATTTTCTACATGAAAAGGGCATTTCTGCACCCAAGACAAAAAGCCAGGGGAGCTTTCCCCCGTCAATTCTCTCCGTGCTCTCCAAAGCAACATATATTAGATTGGGAAATAAATCAAGTGATGGATTATTCCAACAGTGTTTTTGCGGCTGGAAAAATCTCTACTCTTCATGTCAGGAAATGATATATGCAAATTGAAACCTCAGCAGAAGATGAATGAGATTGTGAAACCTAAGCAATATGGAAGCTTCAATTTTATAAAAAGAGCATCATGACTGCATGGCTGCCTTAGGAAATCTATCTGGCAGTTTATGCAGTTATCAAAATGTGGTAAAAATCAATCTGGAAATTGTTTGATCAACTGGAGACCAAATACTGGAGGGATGGTAATGATAAATACAACAAACAGTTGACAAGAATGATAAAAAGTAATTTTAGTTTCTGCAGATCAAAGTTCTTCCCTATTATGATATGATTTTATGAATATATAGGATGCAAATGTATTATTTAAATACAAGGAAAAAAAGTAGCAATACCATAACGTAATCCATTACAAGTAATTTTAAAAGTACACAAGTAGTCTGTCAACTCTACTTTTTTAAATTATTTATGCATTAATATGTGTGATTTGTTTTAATGTAGCTCGCTCAGGTGGTCCTTAGCCTAACTACTGCTGTGTAGTTAATTAGTCTAACGAGTAATTTGAGGAACTCGAGCCCTTGATGAAATGCAATGAAGTAAAAAATGCATTACTTACGCGTAAATTGCAGTGGAATAGAAAAATGCAAATTGCCCTCTTAAGTGAAGATCCAGTACTTAAGTAGTGAAGTATAGACAGAGAAAATGTACTTGGGACTACTTTCAATGCCTGGTGCTGGAGTATTTGTACGACATGCAGAGAGACATCAGACACACGGAGAATCTTTAGAAACGAGCTTACAACAGACAATTGGGCAGGAAACAGCGTCCTCTTGTGTTTGACAGAGAGAGTCACACTATCTCAACATTTTAACAAAAAAATCTGACTTCTTTATCAATGTAAATAATAACCGAAACTGAACAAGGGATAGATATAGCCTAATAATATGTCCAATTCTACACCCTAGAAACACATTATTATTTCAAAACACAAACTTTTTTTTTTTAATTTTATTGAACATTGTACAAATACAAATTTCAGACATCAGGTAATATCAAATGTGCAAAAAGTATGTAAACTATGTATATAAACACATACATGTAGGACATGCATATACATATATACACATGTATATGCATGTATGCATGTGCATGCATATGCATACATGTATACAAAAAGAGAAAAATATATATCAGTCAAATAGAGAAACCAATCAAATGACATAAAACGTAATGTAAATGTAATAAATAATAATAATAAATTTGAATAATAAAAATATATAAATTAAATACAGCAATTAATCATCCGTCAATCATTTTAATTAGGAGCTACAGAGAGAAGACATCAAAATATGCTAGAGTGAGTTGGCTTTTTTTGTTGGTTGTATGTTTAAGTGTTTCTATGTATATATTAAATTCAGTTAAAAAGGTGTTGTAATTTGATTTGGAGAATTTTGCTTTTTGTATGTGGAATTTGTCAATAATAATTAAAAGATTGGTTATGAAACTAAGGAGCTAGTTATTACATTCAAATTAAGTTATAATATCCTTAGGTCTAATTATTACAAAAGAAAAACTAAAACTGTCATGTAATTCCCATGCAATATCACACACGTCTCTGATTGGTTCCTTGTTCGAGGAGGGGCTGGACAGTAGGAGAGCAACGACCTATAGTGTTTGAGCTCACCGCCTGAGACCAAAAAGTAAACAGAGTTGTTTTGATCTGTCAAAAAATCAGGCGACAGTGCAGGTGATTCAACGAAGGATCTGGTGTCATTGTGAACCGACAGTCAATGTAGGACGGTTTGTTTCTAACATACGCGAATATACTTTCGTGCAGTCGTTTTGTTTCAGTTTTTGAGAGTCTAGCTCGCTGTTTTTATAGTGCGTTAACAGCAGCTAGCAGGCTATCAGTTGCATTGCTAGCTGACACCGTTTAAACTTAACATTAGCTGACGGCTTAGCTGCGCAGTGACAGCTAGCAGTAGGTCGACTGGAGGGCGTATATATATAACTGTATAGTTTCACGTCTTTCTTATTGCTCTATAAATCAAGCCGTGACGTTAACAGTGTATATAACTTGTTATCGCTTAGCTCCGTAACTGACTGCAGTAACATTTCAAACAACGTAACCACCCTTCTTTAGCCGCTAGCTGCCAAGCGTATCCTTCCTCTTCTTGTTCATCCCCCTACACCCCGACTAGATTTGTGACAAGTATGTGAAGAAAACTCTGAATGATGTTAGCACTGGACAGGTAAAAGTGATGAAGCCTGAACAGTATCTTGCCATGGCTGAGGATGGAGAGTTGAGTCCAATGGGAGGACGCGCTGGCTCATCAGGCCGGCCGGGCCGACAGACCTTCAGAAGTTCAGCCCATTTCCGCAGCCTGCTGGAGGGCCTGCTGGCTCTCAGACAGAGTGGCATCCTGTTTGATGTGGTGCTGCTGGTGGAGGGTAGACCCATCCAAGCCCACCGTATACTCCTGGCAGCCTCTTGTGATTACTTTAGGTAAAAGGTCACACCAGGCCCCAATTTATGTTTCGCTTTCATTTCTATTTTTCTTACTTTCTCTATTTGTGTCACAGCACAGGAAGATTTTCTACAACCTCCATGTAGATTCCAGTAAAAACTCACGTATAAACCAATATACAGATAGTGCAGCAGTGTCAGGCAGTATTCACATGCATACCACTGACCATGACTAAATGGCCAGATCCCTCCAGGCTACTAGTTAGTTTTCACACATTCTTTGAATTTTACTCCTATCTTACATTTCCATACAAAAGCACAATTTAATCAGTGAGTGCAAGTGTGTTCAGCTCTGTGTCACAAGACCCAGACAGCTTGGTGCAGAGTCCCATTAAGTTTATTCTCTTGTACACCACCTCCTGCAGCTTATTATCTTATACATCAACGTGTCATATGATCATCTGCCTTTACTCATGTAGTTTGTGTGTGCTTGCACTGCCTTTGTGTTTACTTGTCTGCCTACATCATGACTTAAACAAACCTTCAGGTTTTGCACGCAACGTGAAATTGGTCCACACGCAGCCAGTGGTATATGTAACAGAGTAGTTATACAGATAGGTGTATTGACTGTGTAGTCAGTGTATATTATACTTTATATCAGTTTGTAGCTCACTTTGCAGGCGTGGAAGACGATGCATTGTGCTGGTAAACTAGAGATCTACTTTTGGTAGGTATCCCTGCAATCCCATTATGATGCTAAAAGTAGGTTAAGACAAGGCACTAACATCCCTTTACACATATGCTTTTTACTGAATCCTGTAAGATGTGCTTTGTACCAGTAGCTAAAGGGAATAACAACTGAAGCTTAGTACATTCAACACAGATTTGGTTGAAAGCATATGAAGATTTTGTGATGGCTACAGAAATCTCACCTTTGTAATTGCTTTCCTCTCTTTTAAGGAGATTTGTCTGCTTAATATAAACCTTTTCTTTTGGCGTTTGGTCTTTATTGGATTGTTCATGGTAGAAAATGACAGGAAAACCTGCAGAAAGAGAGAGGTGGATATTGTGCCATGTTATGGATTATGTTATCGTCACTGGGCCAAGTTGACCCAACATAACAATGCATCACTCTTCTCCACCAGGGGAATGTTTGCTGGAGGCCTTCGGGAGACGCAGCAAAAGGAGATTCCAATTCATGGAGTATCCTACATGGCCATGAAAAAAATACTCGACTACATCTACACGTCAGAGATTGAGTTGGACCTGGAGTGTGTGCAGGAAGTCCTGATAGCTGCCACACTGGTACAGGTAGGCTGTTGCTCTTTATGCTAAATTAAATTGTTTAGTATGTTATTTTTTTCAGCTGACTTTTGTCTTTTGTCCCTTTTATGTTTTATAGCTGGAGAATGTCATTGGCTTCTGCTGTGATTTCCTCTTCTCTTGGCTGGATGAGAGCAACATTTTAGAAGTGCATCATCTAGCTGATCTGTATGGACTGCAGCAGCTTGATGCCAGGCTCCACTCCTACATCCTCAGGAACATTCAGACTTTGTCTCGAACTGACGTGTACAGACAGCTCCCCCAAGATGAAGTCTTCAAGGCGCTGAGCAGTGACGAGCTTCAAGTGAACAGCGAGAACGAGGTGTACGAGGCCGCACTTCACTATCACTACAGTCCCGAGCAGGTGGAAACTGACCAGGTGTACTTACAGGTCAGTCCTAAGGTGTGTCTGCATTTTGTATTCATCTCTCCATATCCATCAGATACACAGTATTGTATTTACTTAAATAAAGGAATCCCTGATCATATACCATAAGCCTTAATAACATTTACCTCATCTGTTATCTCTCTGACCTAAAGGACAATCTCAAAATGCTTGACGCTGTGCGCTTCTGCCTGATCGAGAAACAAGTGTTGCAGAGACTGAATGGCCGACTGAACCAGTGTCCACTGAAGGATTCAGTTTCAGCTGCCTTGCGTTACCACGAGCAGGAGATCTGGCAGCCCGTCCTGCAGAGTCCTCTCACGCAGCCGCGGTCCACCTTCCGCTGTATATTGGGCTTCGGGGGGATGTTCTCCTCCAGCTCCCTCACAAACAGGGAAAACTTGTTTCAGGTGTTCCACCCGAGCTGGCGGGAGTGGAGGACTCTCACTGCAGCTCACGCGCCCCGAATGTCCAACCAGGGCATCGCTGTGCTCAACAACTATGTTTATCTTATTGGAGGAGACAAGAACACCAGTGGATTTCGAGCAGAGACTCGCTGCTGGAGGTGAGATCCCATCAGAATATTTGTTTAATGCAAAACAAATCTGATTGGTTCATATTGTGATATATAGGCTACGACTATCAATTCTTTCCATTATTGGTTAATTAGTTAATTATTTTAGATTAATCAATTAATTTTTGAGTCCAGAAAATGTCAGAGAATAGTGAAAAAAGTATCCCAGAGCCCGGATACAGATACATGATGTCATCAATTATCAGAACTGTGCTCTTTGACTGATTGATGTATTTGATTGATTGTTTAAGCACAAATTCTGTTCGTTTTTAAATGTTTCTTTGACCAACTCAATATAAAGTTGTGAGAAAAAAAGCTTTTGATCGTATCACTTGATCTTCACCAGCAGATGAAAAACTGCTCGGAAAAAAATGTAACTTTGAACATTTGCAATGCCATGACAACTGGACAAACCTGGACATTCCCTACTGAAATTAATTACTGATCTGTTTTGTTCCAGTAGAATTTTCTCTGTTCCTTCACTGACTGAACACAAAGATGATTTGATATCTACTTTGTGCACAGATTTGTTTCCTGCTGGTTGAATTCCTAGAGTCTCATTTCTTCCTCACTGTTTTTTCTCAGATACGACCCCCGTCACAACAGCTGGTGCGCCATCCAGCCTCTGCAGCAGCAGCATGCTGACCACTGTGTTTGTGTGATGGGGGGCCATATTTATGCCATCGGCGGGCGAGACTACAGTAATGAACTGGAGTCAGTGGAGCGCTATGATCCGCACACCAACACGTGGGAATTTATGTCACCTCTAAAGAGAGAGGTATGAGAGCTAAAAGTTGAAAGATGAGAAGGAAATGCATGTAATACCTGTAACAGCCACATGATGGTGCTACATACACACCTGAGTATTTTGAATGGGACTTTCCTGCTGTTTACCAGGTATTCCCCACTATAAATACCTTTAATACCGGTCTAACCTTCCCCTCAGGTGTACGCCCATGCTGGAGCAGTGATGGATGGCAAAATATATATAACCTGTGGGCGCAGAGGGTCGGTGTACCTCAGAGAGACCTACTGTTTTGACCCTGCGGCGAATCATTGGACAGCGTGCGCAGAGGGGCCAGTGGAGCGGGCGTGGCATGGCATGGCTGCTATGAACGGACGCGTCTACGTTATTGGGGGAAGCAATGATGAGCGTGGATATCGGCGTGATGTCCTGAAGGAATAATTTAAATTAGAAAATGTTTTATAGTCTGCTGAGTCCAACCTTATTTTACATTCTGATGAAGGCCTTCCTGAACTAAAAAGCCAAGTGGACTTGACTTATTGAATTAAGTAAATTGGCTCTGTCGGAGTCAGAGGGACACCTTTTGACGGAGGTTGTTATTATGGACAGCACTTTTCTTAATTAAAGCCTCCCTCCCTCCTTTTTTTCTCTTCAGGTGGCATGCTTGGACCCCACAGCCAACTCTTGGTCTTTGGTGACCCCTCTCCCCGCTGGACATGGAGAACCTGGCGTAGCCGTGCTGGACAGTTGCATCTACGTCCTGGGCGGACGCTCTCATGACAAAGGCAACAGGATGAAATACATTCACGTGTACAACACCGACACGGACGAGTGGGAGAATGAGACGGAGTTTAAGGAGCGCGTCTCCGGCCTGGCAGCCTGCGTGGTGCTCATGCCTCCTGCTTTGATCGCCCAGGCCAGGAGCTGGGAGCAGCGCACCAAGGCATCATGGGAAGACTTGGACATGGACAACTCGGAGGACTCTAGTGAGGACTGACTGAAGCCGCCGTGTTGAACTGAATCTTCCGTAACACTGGAGACTGTTGCACTTTTTTTACTCGGCATGTTGAATTTGAAGAAATTAGAAGATATTTTTTCGTGGCGGTGGTTATAGCAGCATCGTGTCCTTTGTGCATGTTGACCACTTTGAGTGCCTCTGAACCAAAGTGTCATTCAGGACGTTTGCGCACTTTTTGTTACTTCTCAGATTTGAACTCAGATAATCACACTCCGACCGTGAATCCCCGCCTGCTCGAATGCTAATGCTACTGTTTGTCGTTGAGCCCTCATTATTCCCTGTCCCTGTAGCTGCTTCTGTGTTGTTTATCATGGAGAAAAACCTTTCCTGTCTTCAAGCGAAATAAAGCAGTGAAGATTATTGGCTATGCAATAACATGGTAGTGTGGACTACTCTCAGCTGCTTATATTTATTCTTTCAACAATTTTTGACATGCAGTAGGTTCCTTTTGAACTTGGGTTTAAACTTCAGAGTTTAACAAGCAGCAGTTACCCTTTGTAATGTCAATCCTTCAATAGTCAGCTAAACTGTCAATTTGTGAGATATAAAGATCTTCTTTTATAGGATTTATAAATCCAACATCTTAATCCACATCTCCAACCTAGCAGCTACTGATCATTGCTAGTAACTGAGTTATCTTTGCATCCAAACTACTGAATAATCATTAGACTTTTAAATTTTAACATTGTGCCTTTTTTTGTGGTTACACTCAAAACTGTGTATGTGTATTTTTGTTTATCAATGTATGTTTAGATGGAGATGAGCCTTTGGTATCGTGCTTCCGATATCATCAGTTTGTTGTGAAAAAAACAAGAAAACAATGTGTTTGAACCTGAGTGGTGAAGCACTGGTGCTACAGGTTGTTGACCTCATTTCAGAATATGTTGCCATGTCTGTGAATTAGTTAGGAGTGTCAAGTCTTGATATGTGTGTAATGATTACCAAACCATTACGGTAATATATTTTGTATCCTCTCACTGATCTTTCTTACTGGATGTTATTCCATGACGTAATCCAAAGAGCACAATGAAGAGCAGTTGAGGAATATTTCTGTTTGCTAAGTCGAGCTTTGCTCCGTGCTTCTGTTTGTTACCTCACTTCACAGTTAATACTGTTGAATATGGTCAGATAACATGTTAAATGACTCCCCCACCGTTATGCATCATTTATTTTTGTCACTGAAAAAAACTCAAGGAACGAGTCACATTTAAAATGTAGTTTGTCTTTTTCATGGAGTGGGAGTTAAGAAGGACTGCAACACACTGTCAAACAAGATATGCAACAGTTAGTAGATAAAAGACACGTTTTCAGATTTAATAAAAGTATCTAATAGCATATTACTTTTGTCATGCATGCACATTAGTTGGAGTCAGGGCTGCAGCCACCATCGTGGTCGCTGAGGTCATGTTCTCTGAAATTTTTTGACGGGCAATTAGGCGTTTTAGCAACCTCGTGGGAGTTATATTGCACAGTTAAAAACTAGCATGTGTTAGGTATTATTAAGGCTGATTTTATCATTTGAAAATTTGACAAATTTTAGACCAATAAGGTTCTACTAACAACTTTGTATTTCTCCATCAGAATTTTACAACATTTAGACTTTGTTGCATTGAGTTTATAAGTAGTTTAAGGAATTTCCTCAAAACTATTGCTCCATTTAAATAAAATGTTCAGAAACTATAATAAATAATAATAAATAAATAGATGAGTTTTATTTTCTTTTGGCATGTAGGGGTTGGGGTTTTGCCAAAATCCTTGATATGGCCTTAGTTTGGGTTTAGAGGTTATGCCTTCACTCTTCATCAAAGTTCATGTCACTGCCTTTTTGTGTAACTCAACACAGTTTCATAAATGTAATGTAAATCTCCTCAGGTGATTGTCTTCCTTCTTTGAACTGCTCTCTGGTGGTTGCTGCCTCGTGCCCTTTATTCGGCCCAGTCTCTACTAGTTCCTCTCCATTTGGCCCCACACTCCATCAGCTTTATGAAGGCTGACTGCTGCTTTCCTCTCTGAGGCTGTTTCATCTGCATCTGTTACCCCCTGCCAGCCCTAAGTGAGTGCCCCTCCACCCTTCCCTGTTTCACACTATTGTGCCAGCCCCCGCTAAGTTGTCTGGTTGGATCTGCTGACACCAGCACTGGACATACAGGATCTGCTGTGTTTTTAAGCATTAGTCTTTTCATTCCAAAGCTGGAGTACCACCTGGGGGATACTTAAGACATATGTCATGCACTTAACCAGAGTTCAGGTCGATCTGGTGCTCTTTGCTGGACCATTATCAGAGCAATTAAAAGCCCCAAATTACCAATTGACGTGGAGCTATGCAGATTAAACACAGTGGAGTTGTGGACGTGTGTGTCGAGGGAATCTGACTAAGTGCTCGCTTTCATTCTCGTTTCCCCTGCTGTGTAGGAGAGGAGGAGGTCCAAAGTCAAGCAATAAGTCAATAGAGAACAAAGGGAGTCACCTGTGACTGAAAAACACTTCTTTTCACTGTGACAGACAGACGATATTACTCCTCAACATCTTTAGGCATTTACTGATGGCCGTAAACAACATGACAGTCATGACAAAGTATGGCCTCAGTGTGTATTTGCTCCATATTAAGTGATATACAGTCTACAACGTTTTAATGTCAGCTATGCATAATCAATGGAGATCAGGAGGTAACATTTAACCAAGAGAAACCAAAACTTCCCCCAAAAAGCTGCAGAATCTATTTGACCCATTTGCATCATCCAGAAAATGTTCCTTAATGTCTTACTGACCTTTAAAAATTAGTTAAGAATGCAGGACCATTATTTAATACACTCAGTTTTACAAATATACTGTACTCAAAAAGCATTTTACATTCCAGATGCATAATTTCATGTTTTACCTGTCAGTTTCCATCAGAAAGAATGTGGCCAGTACAGCTCCCTCTTTATGTTTTGTCTCCTCAGAGTGCAGCTCTACCATAAATTATTCAGCAGCTGTATAATCAACTCTACAGTTGTCCATTCATATTTTTATTATACGTGACACATTGTATAAATCCATATACAACTGAACTAGGTGGTGCAAATGCACACAATGCTCTAGTACAGTATAATAAAGACACAAAAAAGAGCAAATGAGGCATAGAGCTCTCAGCTTCACTCTTACAATCAAATGTACCAAAATGAAAAAAATGAACCAAGTCAGTCAGGAACATCAACCAAAACCTTCCTCTGGGGTACAGGACTAAAACAGAATTAAGGATTTGGCTGGATAGTCGTTATGGAGAAGTTTGAACATGGCATTTCAAAAAAGTTATGATCTTGCCCTTTAAATATTTGTTATCAAGAATTTAAAGGGCAAGATCGTCATTTTTTTCCATGGTACATTTTCAGCTGCCATCCAATAATGAGATTTCATTAAGCACAGTGACAATAATTTGTTGAAAATTTTAACCAAAAGCTTCATCACGGAAATATTTCTGTGATGTCACCTTCTTTAGGCAAACTCAAAGTTTACCGCTGTATTTGTTTGTTTTTGCATGGCTGTAAAAACAGATTACATGCATAAAGGAAATTGTGACCAACCCCCCCTTATGTATCATAATGTATGATCCTGTGGCAAAAGCGCTTTAATGTCTTAACCAGGATTTAATTTCCCCATTTCTTTATGATAAGATCTTTACTGGGTTTAATTGGCTTTAATTTAACTGGCTTCTGGGATATGCAGTATAATCTCATAAGAATCATACCGAGCCTCTCAGCCAGCAACACAGATTCCTGCATGGATACCTCTCTTCTTGAGCTCATTAAAATGAGTAAATGAAGTGGGTGCATTATACAGCTGGGGAAGTCTGGGGCTGGACGTACTGGTTCAAGAAGCCTCCAAGATAATGAATCACACTGAATAAAATCCACACCATACCAGAATTGTTCCTGAAGGGTGACCTCCTCCTCCTCCTCCTCCTCCTCCTCCTCCTCCTGCCCCGTTAACCTTCCTGGCTCCAGAGGGAGCGTCAGGCTCAGGGGAGGCCCGTCGGTGCCACATCTCCTTCACCCCGTCCACCACACACAGGCTCATGTTCCTCAAAGAGAAACCCTTCTTGAAG